TAGATGATTGGTGGTTGCACAGTGATAAAGGGGGATGGACAGGCAGATTCCTAGGGCAGTGGAGGGAATAAGGGACCCCAGACAAGAGGGAGTTCAGTCACGTAAAGGGAACTTCAGGGGAAAGATCAGTTCGAAATTAAAGATCTCTGAAGACCCCATGCTTGAATTCCATGAGAGAAATGCCTGCCGGCCTAAACAGGGTGAAACCATTCTAGAACGGGGTCGCGAAGAGCTTTCCATCCTCTCTCCTTCTCTCCCTCCGCCCTGCTCCTCTGGCTCTTTTCTAGGGTCTGAAAAGACAGCTAGTGTGCTGGGGAGAAGGCAACGAGAGAGGGAGAAGGAGCCGATTCCCTCCCCCACAAAAGGCTACCTGTAGACCCTTCCAGGAAAGACTCCCCTCCCAGGAGGTGGAACTGCAGACTAACACGTGGGTTGGACCTTCTGGATTCTGAATCAAGACCGTTTTGCTGTTTAAAGGACCATACGGCTTTGTATCATCTAAGAATTATCAAGTTATGGGCCTGCCCGAGTTTTCACCCAGGGACGGTAGAGGGACTCTTCCTACAGGGCCGACTTAAAGGGACAGTGGGGTACAGAAGGCGAGTTGCTTTTATGTTTGTACCCTGTGAGTCTCACTTACTCAGGGTGCCACTTCCATCTCTCAATTCTGGCCCTCCAGCCAAAGCAGCCAACATGATATTCCCCGAACACCCCAAGAAGACTACAGTCCACCTTTTGTGCTTTGGTTCCTGGTCTTCCTTGACTCCTCTTCCCACACTGTATTTTAATTTTACCTCTTTTATTAGAGGTAAATTAGGGCTGCTTACACTTGTCTGATCATTCATGTAGACTTAAAGTGCTTGGGGTCATGAGCCATGTCTTCTTTGCCTTTGTAACCCACATCTCCTCTGTCCTCGTACATAGTACCTAGTAGACGTTTTTTAAAATGATGGGATGACCAAATGACTGATGAAAGAAATAATACTAATTGATAATTACTTACGTCTACTGTGTTCGCAAAAGTAGAAAAGACTGTGTTAGGGTATTCTCGTGGCTTTTTCCCCTGCGGTTGCCAAGCAGAGTTTGAATCGGACTTACCTGATTTGCAAACCCACTCTTCCGATGCCACCAGGCATACACAGTGTTCTAAGTGCTTCTAAAAGAGGAAATAATCGTCTTCTTATGGGCATATGTAGTCATTATTTTATTTTTTAAAAAGTACATAAATGACAGAATATCTGTATTGATCATAGAAAAATGACAAGATACAAATGAGCGTTGCAGTAAACAGTCGCCTACGACCCACCTCCCAGGCATAACCTTACTGTTAACACTGTCTCCCATCTTTTTCCATGTGCCAGTTTTTTTTCTTGGAAGTGCAGTATAGGCCACTTGGGGTAAAATTAGTATTTGTCCTATTATGTTAGGAAGAGATTCTAGGGCGCCTGGGTGGCTCAGATGGTTAAGCGTCTGCCTTCGGCTCAGGTCATGATCCCAGGGTCCTGGGATTGAGTCCCGCATCGGGCTCCCTGCTCCTTGGGAGCCTGCTTCTCCCTCTGCTTCTCTCTGTCTCTCCCTCTGTCTCTCATGAATAAATAAATAAAAAATATTAAAAATAAAAAAAAAAGGAAGAGATTCTAAAGGGATTTATGATATGTGTGGAGAGGGAAGGTGATGGGAAAGAGTAAACCCTGGATGGGTAAACATGTCCCTGGGTGTGGGAGGCAAAGCTAAGAGTGAGTGAAATGATTAATTCAACCACTGTTTTGTCAGGACACCTCAGGCAAAGGGGAGAGAGGACCAGTGGGATCTCTGGCCGACTTAGGATCTGTTTCCGGATCAACCTGCCTCCTGCCTCCTAGGCCAGCCTGTCCAGGCACCAGGCTGAGATGGTGATTAATATGTGGGGGAGCCTTAAGCTAGAACTTAAGAGGAGCTTTTCTTTCTTATTTGCCTTGGGTTCTGATTAAATTTGGGGGAAGGGGGTTGAAAACCCAAGTGTAGCAAAAACTTCACAGCAGTGTTTTTCAGTTGGGGGATTTTGCCCCCAGAGGATATTGGCAACATCTGGAGTTATTCAAGGTTGTCATTCCTGGAGGATGGGTGCTACTGAGATCTAGTAGGTGGAAACCAGGGATGTTGCTAACCATCCTACAACGCACAGCACAGCCTCCCCAAATAAAGGATCTGGCCCCAGATGTTAACAGTGCTGAGGTTAAGAAACCTTGCTTTAACAACAACAAAAAAAGGCAAGAGAACAGTTGGCAAATATTTTCTTATATATTTCTTATATTATGTCTCACTTGTCCATTGAGATGTCAGCTTGAAAACTCTGTGAGTCTGGAGTCTATCAGGTAGACTAAAAATGTTAAAGGTTTTTTTAATCAATGATCAGTGTTTTGTGCATTTGTGAAAGGTCAAGAGTTGTCATAAGAAAGGACAGAAAGCACTTCATGTAAATCATACTGAAATTATCCCAAGTAGCTTTCAAAACCTGATACCATTCAAGCCAGTGGTACACATAGCCAGATGATTTTTAATCTAGGGGCAAAGCTGGGGAAAGGAGATGGAAAAAGATAAAGATAATGGAGCTTCGTTCTAGCTTTGCTCTTCGTATCACTGAAATTTTTGTGGAATTAAGTGAATCCTTTTCAGTATGTTTTTGTGTCTGTCTTCAAGCCTTGGAATGACTTGCAGGGTTCAGAGACATCATTACATACCTGTGTCACTGACCCCACTGTTTATTTTCCAAATGTTACGTACTTTGAGGGAGCACAAAGAGGGAAATGTGTGTTGTGACTGCACCTATGGGTGAGGTAGCTAGAGGTCAGGGTGGCTGTCAGGTCATCAAATCCCTTAAGAGGTTGCAAGGAGTGCAGTCTGCATTCCAGAAACAATCAGGTGGACTACAAATCAAGGCAAAGAAGCTAGACGTGTAACTTTGAAAGCTTCATATTCTTTTCTTTTTTCTTTCTTTTTTTCTTTTTTTTTAGCATGATTGAATCAACTTGGTTTTTATGAGCCTCACAGATAGGCAGAGAAACAACAGCTTGGCAGGAATAGGGAAAGGGGGAAGGGATCTAAATTAAATATAACAGTTGCTTGGCAGTTTAGTTGCTGACAAAAAAAAAAAAAGTCATTTACCCTGAAAACCATGTGTAATATGTTGGGAAGGAGAAAAGAACAATTAGCCCACTTCTTATGTAGCTTTTATTGACAGCACTATATTAATTGTAATCATTTAATTCAAAATGCTCTTCCGTCTTCTTTACTACAACTCAATAAACTACACATGTACTTGGCTCTCACCCTGTCTCCTGCTTTGTAAGGAACGTGTAGTTTTCTCTAACCACCCGGCTTACAGCAGTGAGGTTCCCCTTTCACATCTGTCCCATCTGCTTCCTGCTGCTTCTTAGTGCTATATCCATCCATCCATCACAAATTACCACAAACTTGGTAACCTAAAACAACAGAAATTTATTCCTTCACAGTCTGGAGGCCAGAAGTCTGAAATCTGAAGGCTCTAGGGGAGCCCCTTTCTTTACCTCTCCCAGTTTCTGGTGGCTCTGGGAAATCCTTAGCCTGTGTCCACCATGACTCCAGTTTCTTGTCTTGCTCCGGTCAGGCTGCTCTAACAGAGTCCATTGACTGGGTGGCTTATTAACGACGAAAATGTATTTCTCACAGATCTGGAGGCTGGCAAGGCCAAAATCAAAGAGCCCAAATATTTGCTGTCTGGGAGCTCTCTGGGGTCTTTTTTATAGGGGCACTAATCCATTCATGAGGGCTCCATCCTCATGACTAATCACCTCAAATATTATTACACGGGGAATGAAGTTTTAGCGTATCAATTTTGGGACAGAGGGTGGAACACATGTTCAGTCCTCTTCACACACCCTTCCCCTGTCATCCTTATCTATTCTAAGGACACTTATACTTGGTTTTAGGGCTGACCTGGGTAATCTAGAATGATCTCATCTTGAGACCCTTAACTGAATCACATCTGCAGATCACAACACTTTCTCCAAATAAGGTGACATTCACACGTTCCTGGGGTTAGGACATAGACAGATTCCGAGGGGTCACATTCAACCCACTATTCTCTGTATGTCCTCGTCCACCCCCCCCCAGAATGTTGAGTACACTATAGTTACTGATAAATGCGTATTGATTTGAAAGTGTGCTCATTTTAAAGTGACCCAAATTAATGGCCGGGCTGATTGCCCCACCTTGTTTCAAAGATGCTCTGTCATTAGCTCTACAGAATGCATGGACATAAAAACAGTCCGGCTTTGCAAGGTGAATGCTATGTTTCAGACTAAAGATCAAACATCTAATAGTCACACCTAAAGCAACAACAGCCTGTAAGATTGCTGTTTTTCTAAGCATTGGTCCTTGTGGGCTGCAATTAACTTCCTAGGTGGTCTTGAGGATTACTAGCTCCCAGCAAGGTATAAATGTCTCAGTTGAATCGACCCTGTTTATCCTTCATTAATTTAGGTGCCCTAGAAGAGAGAGAAGAAAAAAGTGATCAGAACTTTAAAAATAGAGGGAGACAATCGTCATATTAAAATGTTCGCTTTAATTTGATTCGCTGAAATTGAGTAAGTTCTGAAACAAGGACAGATGTTCACCATGTTCTCCATTAGTTCTGGAAGCAGCATAGCAGAGAGCATGGAGCATGTGGGGGCGTGCCCGGGGCACCCTGGTCACCGGACCCCTAGTGCTAGATTCAGAGACCTGGCTGGGCCTGGATCTGCTGCCCCGGGTATGGCCTTGGGCAAGTCACGTACTTTGTCTGGGCTTCAGTTCCCTACCTTTTCAGGAGAGCAGGTGGGCTGAACTAGTAATTTTTCCATCTGTGTGCCCCTGTGCTGTGGCACTCTCCTCACCTGCTCCCAGACATGATCCTCGTGGTTCTCTCTGTGATTAGAAACTGGGTTTGGTTCAGAATTTTAAAACCGTGGTGTTCTGGTTTCTCCTCGTTCACCTGCTTGCAGCGGAGAGCTACAAGGAAACTCAGATGGTGAAGATTAAAGAGGAGCCCATGGAGGTTGACATCCAGGACTCGCATGTCTCGGTATCACCCAGCCGGAATGTTGGCTATAGCACTTTAATCGGGCGAGAGAAAACCGAACCCTTACAGAAGATGCCAGAGGGCAGAGTGCCCCCAGAGAGAAACCTCTTCAGTCAGGATATCTCTGTGAAGATGGCTTCCGAGCTTCTCTTTCAACTGTCAGGTACGTTTCTGTGCAGAAAAATGTCAATAATTGGGAATAATTGGAGGGAAAGCCACTCTAACAAAGTAAAAACACCCGCATTATAGGATTTTTCAGGCAGAAATCAATTTTGTTACTTTAACATGCATACCGCCACTCAAACTAACAGTTAATAAAATGTTGCCAAGTGGAACTCCTGCCAAACTTTCTTTAATAAATAGTTAAGAATCATTTGAAATTAGAACTCTATTCAATTCTGTGCAAATGATCCCTGTTGACTAGGCTAAACATCTCACCTCTACTTTTGCTTAGGCCCTTGATCTGATTAACAGCCTTTTTTCTTTTTTTCTAATGTTCAAAAGATAAACTTCAATTTACTCCAACAGTGACTGAATTACCATGAATTCCAAATTAGTGTGGTTTGAATTAAGATTTTACTGTATCTTGCCAAAAAAAAAATCAAGGAAAGGGAGAAGATGAAAATGGGAGGACTCTTGCCAACTATCCCCTTGCAGAGCATTGTTCTGTAAACCAATTGTTTCCACTTTGAATACTTGGAATTCACAGGTGTAGGAATTACCAGCTCAGCTAAGAGTCTTGATAGAACAGTTGAGGGTCCTCTTGGTTACCTTTGTTAACTCTTTCAAGCTGCATAGTGTTTGTCCTTAACAAATATAACATGCTGTTATTATCTGAACATGATTGAGATTGAAGGTATATACTGACATATAAGATTCAGGTTCATATGAAATACACACAGCTTGTCCGTACTCAAGCATTGGCCTACATATGGAAGTTCATGTATCGGTAAAGTTTGTTACTAATGTTTGATAAACTCTGTTTTGTTATGGATAACATATTCAAAATGCCATGAGATGCCTCATTATTTAAGTATTCACTTGCTTTCCCTGCTAAGAAAAATATCAGGGAAAAGAAGCTAGAATCTGCATACCATCATAATGGTTCACCTTCTTGTTGGCCTGGTGACCCACCCCAGAGCTTGAAACTATCAGTTGTTCCCGAAAACGGTGGCCTCCTAATACTCAAACAAGGATTGTTCTTTGTGCAAAGCCCTGTAGTAATGGAAATAGTTAATTCTGTAAATTTCACAGGGTACGTGGATCTTTGCAAGCTCCCCAAAGCTCCAAATCCTACAAGATGCTTTAAAAAAAAGAAAGAAAAGAAAACAGGCTGAAAGCATATCTAAAAACAATATAACTTTGAAAATTACTTAGCAGTTAAAATTTGCAAAAGTGAGGCCAGGGTGGTTCTTTTCAGAAAGTCTCTGTCTCTCACAGTACAGCAGTCTGCTGTCAGTGACAGACTTTGCGTCTGAGAGTTCTTACCCTGGCATGGTCACTTACTGCCTGGGTGACCTCAGGCAAGTCTTTTAGCCCCGGTTTCCTGTTCTCTGAAAGAATACTGCCTCTGAGTCCAAATTCAGCCTCATTGTCATTGTCCAGGGGACAGAAAGCAACCGTCCCCACCAACTTGCATGCAGCCATTTCAGACAAGCGTTAACAAAGTACTGGGCCGATGTTGGAAGCCTTTCGCTTTTCCAGATATCTGTTTAAATTTGTTCAGAAATCCCTAAAATCAGGAGTTTTTTACTTGCCCTGGCGTGGAAATCTGAAACCCTGGTGGAGTTGGCCAGGTTTTCTCTGCATGCTGAAGCCACTGAGAGCCGTGACAGGGCAGAATCCTCACATTTGAACTGGATTGGGAAGGCTGGAGTTCAACTTTTGTGTTCTTGAAAGCAAATTAAATAATTTCTGACAGCTGGTAGATACAGACCTCAAGACAGAGTAAGGGAGGGTTTACCTCTGCTTGTCTAATGATATTTTTTTTTTGTCCCTGGTGGCATTTATCAGAATAAGTGCTCGATGACTGCAGAACCCAGAGGTCTTATGGCTGTTTTTGTATCTCCTCTCACAAAGGGGCCTGACAGTACAGAATGCTTAAAGGTTGTCATCAAAGTCAGAAGCGGAACAGTTGCAACAACCGCAATTTTCATGCTGAATCAGAGGAGAGCAGAAATTTTCAGCTGGGGAAAGATGTGGTAGAAATAGCGGGTTCTGGGCACATCTCCCTGTGCGTATGTGTACTTATTAAGGCCTCATTAAAATCAGACAACACACTTGAAATTTGTCAGTGATTGTTTCCCTTTGATTGGTTTTTACTAAAATATTTTTGTGGATGTTGTCTATATGCTTTTAATGATTGTCTTTACGAATAAGCCAGGGAGGGTTTGAATATATAAAAAGGAAACCAAAAGAAAACCACAAGAGAGAAAAAGAAACGTTGAGGGAGTTTCTGTTTAAGCCTTAGAGACACAAATTGAATAAGAACGACCTAAAAGGGATGTTTCATTCTTTCTTCTTACAGAAAAAGTGAGCAAAGAGCACAATCACACAAAAGAAAACACCATTCGGACGACCACCAGGTAGGCCATTTTATGTGGGGGGGGGGCGTCCCCTCAGAGCGGCCCCTGTGTGGGCCCTCAGGCCCCAATCGCGTGTTGCACATTGTTCCCCAAACTATTTTCTCCCGCTGGGTTCAAAGGAGTCATGCCTTTTGCCCCTAGTTTGTGTTAGACATTTTGTGGAAACAATACAGAAAGCAAGAGCGCCAAGGGGGAAGACCACTAATATTTATCAAACATCTAATAGCTGTTACTTGGCTGGAGAATTTTCCAGATGTTCTTATTTTTTATTCCTTTATAATAGTTTTGTGAAGTAGGTCATGTTATTATTCTCTTTGCAAAAGTTTCTTGACTTGGGAGTTTAAACGGGTGGCACAGCTGGGATCGGGAGCTGGGTCCGTATCTCAGGAAGGCTTCACCCACTCAGGAGACCAAGGTTCTGACTGCAGCTGTGTTCCTGAGTAGCTCCGCAGGTGTGGACGGATCACTGGTCATCAAGGATATCCCAACTTTTTGCCTCACGGCACTGTTAGGAGAACAGAACACCTTAAAGCGAGAGAAAATGCTTTAAAAGGCTGCAGGAAAACCTTTGTCGTTAACAGCTGTAGATAAGGATGCTGTACATTTGCCAAAGGCAGCTTGAGGAGGTCAGCCAGGGTGGGCTGCCCATCCGTTTGCCAGATGGAAGGAGGAGGACTGGCCCGTGCGGCCACTCATCCCCAGCCTGGAAGGCCATCCGGACTGCAACTGTGGTATGCACACTCCACTAGCATATACCCCACCGCTGTGAAAAAGGCACCCCGGGGGAGATAGGAGCTCTAGCTTTCAAGGACCGTCCCCCACCCTCAGACCACCCTCCAGTCCCTGAGTTAGCCCCAGACGCAGGCTTTACCAGACAAAATAGAAACAGGGAGAACGAGATGTGAGCTCCCAAGAAGGCTTTATATCAAGGAACTAAGCTTTCCCGAGCAAACTTAGATTCGATTCTTCCTAATGGGAGCAGTTGACTGGTTTGGTGTTTTTCCTTCTTGCAAAGAAAGATAAATGATGTTTTTCTCTTTGAGATGGTATGAGTCAACCTCAGAGCATCATCAGGCACGTGAACAGTGCTCATCTGAACCTTAACCCGAGTTGGTTTTTTTCTTTTTAATTTTATGAATTGGAATTTGGGATATCAAATGTCAAACAGTAATTAAAACAGAGCCAGCTGGCCTCATACAAAGTTCATATAGTATTAGGAAAATGAAACCTGCTATAACAGAACAGAAGAGCTACCGTACCAGCCTTGTCTCTGTGTATTAAGTACACAGATGGAAAATGGGTCTTGCGATCTGGGCTGCACAGTTTTGGGAAATGGGTCTGGGGACTGGGCGGGTTATTTGTCTATTAAGTTGGATGCCCGAATAGGCGATGTTACCTACTACAGATGCCAGTGGACCTTCCACATGTAATCTTAAGACTATTTAGTATATATGCTTATGTTCCTCGGTCTGAGCACACGAAATTGTCCTGATTGGGAGACCATGAAAGACAGCAGATTAAAAATAATACATGTTAATTTTAATTTGCTTCCTTAGGTTTCTTGAAGTGTCCCGGGTCAGGTTCCCTAGACGCAGAGCCTGAGACAGGGATTCCTGTGAAGGGGCTGTATTGAGGGAGTACTCTCAGAGGACTCTGCTGGGAAATGAAGGGGGCAGGAGAGGGGAGAGGAAGTTGTGGAGCAAGGATGTAGTTTTCACTGGATTCCAGCTTTAGCTCCATCCCACAGAGAATTCTGGAGCATGAATTGCACCACAGGGTAAATCCTGCCTGGAGGCAAAGGGGCCAGCTCTTTGGACCCCCATGCTATTCACTAGCTTCGGGTCACCCCCAGCAGGGGATATGGAGCCTTCTAGTTGCAGGAGCTCCAAAGGTGAAGGCAGTTCTTGCTCACCGTTCAGAGCCAACACCGCCAGCCACTTGCTCACTCGCTCACTTGCTTGCTCGTGGTGAGCGCCCTAATGCAGTAAAGGAGTTCTGGGCAGGACCCGACAGCACCCCCTGTGGTGGTTTTCTGCTGGATCTTTAAGATCACATAATAATACTTATATAACAGAAAGGTTTGCTACGAAGCCATGTTATTTTATGCTTTTCAGGTGTTCTCTGGGAACACTAAGAGGAGGTTTGAACTAGCCCCAAACGAGTGAAATGCGTCTCAGAGCCTAAATTGCCTTGGCTGGAACTAGAACATAATTATAGGATAGAAGAGAAATTTTTTTAGCCATTTGGCAAAAATGAGGCAATCTTTAAATTCTTCTCTTGCTGGGAGATTATGAGTAAGAAGAAATCCAAATCAGATTTTTTGCCCAAAGCAGAGGAAGAGGTGCTTGCTGTGAGCCCCCAACGTGGTACAGTGTTCATAAAGCAGTGTTACAGAATTCTGGGTTTATTCTCCTTCTATAGAATCCTTGGTGGGGGTTTTTATTCTTCCTTTGAGTAGCAACTTGTTCAATTAGCCTCTCCTCAAACAGATCTCTTTTTTACCTTCTCACCTCATTACTTCAGGTGGAATAGAATCAAGCGGCTTCATGCCAAGAAATCCTCTTTAACCTTAGTTAACTGATAGCAGGGACAGGAAAAAAAGTGCCTCTCTTTTTTGATTCCTGTTTTAGAAGGAACTCTTATTTTGTATGCACAAGGTCAGCTCAGGGGGCTTACGTTTTAAGGTAGGATTTGCGATACTTTTCAAAAAGATTGACATCAAGCCTCCGAATTTCCTTATCTCTGGATCTTCAGGTACTTAGTGGGATCTTCTTCTAGGTTTTCCAGAAGAAGCTGGCTGTCCAGAATGATGGCTCATGTTTGCAGTCAGGTCCAGAATCTGCCATGTTTGAGAGTTGCTAGGTACACTAAAGATAGTTTAATTCTGAAGGGCGGGCCTTGGTACCCTGGCCGTAGCACCGTACTGAGGTCAAACTCTTGCAGATGCCAGGGGGTGTCTGAGCTCCTCCACTCAGTGAGATCTCCTGCCCCTAGAGTCTGGATATCCAGGGGTTTGAGAGCAGAGAAGAGATGTGCAATCCTGGAAGAAAGCAGCTGATTCTCTCTCCCTGTCCTGTATAAACCCACAACTTTCTCCACAGTTGTTTGTCATTTTTTGGTCTTGACTCTCATTCCAACCACAAGAACTAAGGAAAAGTGTAGCAGCCTAGGAAGAAACACTATAGCTCGGCATTCCAGTATGTGTTTACCAACGAGAGGAGATGTGGGGTGCGGATTTCCATGCCTGGGCCCCAGGAGAGCATGGAGGATGTGTGTACAGCTCACCATCCATCCCATACAGACTGATAGTTGCACGTCCCTCCTCATCAAATCCTTTCCTTTGACAATTCTGCTGTTTGTTAATATCTCCATTATAAGATGGGCAGATATGGAGAGAGAAAATGATGTTAGAGCGTGTTCCTTGTTAACAATTAAAAAAAAAAAAGGTTTAGGTGAGGCTAAAGGTTGAAACGAGTAACTAGCAAGTTTCTGGATCATTGAGTCTCTACCTCATTTAAAAATTAAAAACAAAAAAAACCCTCTTTCAATGGAAAATTTCAAACATATACAAAAGTAGCGAAAGTACCCATCATTCAGTCTGAACAATGATCATCTCATGACCCTTGTTGAGAGGTCCCCTCCTTTTGTTCTCCCTCCACCTAAATTATTTTAAAGCAAATCCCGGGCATCATTTTAAGAACTTGTTTGAGAATGCTTTTTCTTTCACCCCAAGAACTGAGACTCAGCTGCTTAGATTAGTATCACCTTCCCAAAAGTTAAGGAGAAAAACAGTCTACCAAAGTGCACCGTGTAGCCAGGCAGAGAAATCAATCTACTCAACAACTGGAATGATTGGATCATGTGGTCCTGCTCACCAATGCCTTGATCTTAACCCTTCCACCCTTGTTTGTGCCCTCATAGGGGCACCTCCACTGAATCAGTCCTTTAGTTGGAACTTCACTGTAAATGCTAAAACAGCAGTTCTTTTGCCTCTTTAACCTCAGAGTCTAGCAAATTCAGTCTAAGTGTAAAGAAGGCTGTGCATCTCCTTTGAGATGGTATGTGGACAGAGTGTTCTTAATGCCATTCTACCTGATAAATGAGACGAGGAGACAGTCCAGCCAGACCCAGGAGAACAGAAGGACTGAACACTTAAGAGACTAATAAAAATCCTGATTTTTTATTTCCTTTCCTAGCACAAGCCTAGATTCTGCAGAGAATAGATACCCAGCTAATATGATCATTTGTTGATGAAAATATATGAGGCATGATATCATAACCAGATCCCAAAGTTTAATGGAATAAAAAGAAGATCTACATCTTCTGACATGGACCATCACCCCGCCAGATGCTGGATAAGATCGAAATAGGAAAATGGAACCCTAGAGTAAGAATCAGATAGCTCCTGGCAGGTGAATTGGACATGCTCAATGTTGTGTAACACCATGAACGCCAAACAATGGCTGCCAAGAACCCTCTCTTGGTTATTTGTTCTCTCTTTTACCCATTAATAATTCAGTGTCCATGCGGATATAAGATTGCAGGCCTTAAGAAAAACTTCTCACACCTGGCTTGCTTTATTCCAAAAGTAAGGAAGTGTTTACCCGAATTGTCCTTTTCGCCGTTACAAGACAAAAAGCAGAAGTGGGAAAATCAGAGAAAGGTAGGCTCACAGCACGCCGTGCCAGCCAACATTTAATTTGCCCAATTTTCTGAACTTGAAATGCGGGCTTTTTGTTATGATTTAGGTAATGGCACTTACAGTGCTCACTAAAAGACGTATGCACTTGGAAGTGTCCAATATAGAATTTTCCTGTGTGATCGTTTGGATTCTTGTCCTTAAATATTTATGATTCAGTAATAGAAATTGCACACATTTGGAAAAGCATCAATTTGTGCAATTTCCTCTTTTCATTTTTTGGAAGGCCAAAGAGAATAATGCTCTATTACCTTAAAAAGTAAAAGGTTACTTACAAAGAACATTGGCTTAGACAAAAGCA